ATGCATATTTTTTTATCTTTTACAATAAAACATAGTAAAAATTGATTATAAAAGATGATTTTTTATTAAAAAATGAATTATAAACTTTTTTTTTTTTGGTTTTTTACAGATATAAAAAACTCATTTTTTTATGATGGAGAAAATATTATTTATTTTAAATTTAAATATGTGCATTTCTTTTGTTTTTTTGTTAATATCTTTTTTTTTTTTCGATTTAAAAATAAACATACACGTACATTTAAATTGTTAAGTAAATGGAACCGGCGTAAACTAGGACCGACCCAATGCACCGGGCTACCTTATAAATATTTTGACCCGACGAGAGATCGGGTCAAAAAAAAATTAATATGCGTTAATATAATATTTCTTTAAAAAAATAATATTTTTCTTTGAATACTAACAATGCATCTTATTTTTAATATTTTATTTTCGAGGCATTTCTAATAAAATAAGACATATAGTAGTTAATAATATCCTAAAATTATATGCTTTCATTTTCTTATCCAAAATGTAAATATGCTTCTTCTGTTCACTCAACATTTTTTAATAGAATAATTCATCATAAATATTATTAAAAAAATACAAATATACATACACATTAATATAATATATATATTATCCATTCATAAAAAAATCATTAAATACAAAATATTATTTTTTATATTATCGACACAATTCTCATACCATATACAAAAAAATCAATTCATCTAAAAACGCTGATTGAACAGACTGGTTATGTATTTATACATAGGAAAGAGTTCGTGGCCGGAGTTGGTGGGAAAGAAAGGGGAGAAGGTGGCGGAAATAATCGAGGAGGAGAATACCAACGTCAAAGCCATTGTCATAAATGAAAAAGACAACGTCCCTTTCGACTTCAATTGTAACCGCGTTTGGGTTAGGGTTAACGATGCCGGCTTTGTGGTTCAAACTCCTTCGATCGGCTAGTTAAAATTATACTATTCCCAAACACGACCTTGTTATTATATATATATATATATGTTTGTATGTGTGTATCTTAATTAAGTTTGTCGAAATCGTGTTGATGTAATAAATTAATATCGTCGAAAATAAAATTATGCGTGTAATAAAATCGTGTTGAATGTTTCAATTTGAATTTCCTAAATGCATTCGATTAGCTCATGATATTTTTTTTTTTCATTTTTTATTTTTTAATTAAATTTGGTAAAATAAATTAGAAGAGATATAATAATTAAGTAAAATACACAAAGTAGTAAATAAAGTAAGATAAGGAAGCGGAAAAAGTAACGAAGGAGTTGAGGGTTTGTTTGGGTTGTATTTTAAACTATTTTATTTATTTATTATTATTTAACTCATATAATTTTTAATAAAAATATATTATATTTTTATACAAAACACCATATTAATATATTATTTAAATCAAAATTATATCAAATCAAAACACAAACCAAACAAGCCCCGAGTCTTTGGAAAAATTATTTTCTTCTATGTATTTTGATATTTAGAAAAAAAATAGAAAGAAATAATTATGAATACAATATAAAATAATCAAAAAAATAAAAGTATACCCACCTTTAATTAATTGGAAGACGCGAGATGAAATAATATAATATGATGATTAACACATGAAAATGAATTCAATCAATTCATTAATTAGTTCCATTAAAATATAAAATTATCTTATACTCCCTCCGTGCCGTTGGAAGGGTGACGTTTGTTTTTTGCACATAAATTTTTTAATATTAGTATTATATTGAATTATAATAAAAAAAAGACAAAAATACCCATATTAATATAGTGTAATATAAAAGTAATGACATTTGTGTAATATATTGTAAATTGAAAAGGTATTTATTATGTTAAGTAGGTAATACAATAACTAAAATAAGAAATAATAATTTTATTTTTGGACAGACGAAAATAGAAAATAGTAACTTTTTAATGAGACGGAAAGAGTATATATTTTTAGCTAATTAAATGTCAAAGGCATCCATGGCTACCTATCCACCACCCCCACCAAACCCATTGGATAGATTCTATACTACATATATATATATATATTATATAAATGATACACCTTCCGTCCGCTTACAAAGTTTACATGTTTCTATTTTGGAACGTCCAATTACAAAGTTTACATTTTATTAAATGCCTTACTTTTTTCCACAAATACCCTTACTTTACATCGCATCATTACTTTTATAAAAAAAGTAAAGGCAAAAATGTCATTACACTACTTTTAACTACTCACTATAATTAAAATACTATTATTTTTTAAACACCGCGCTAAAAGTAAATGTAACCTTTGTAAATGGACGGAGAGAGTATATTGTATATGCAAGGTACAAAATATCTTATTTAAATTTTAGGATTTTTTTTTAGTCTTTCAATTTGAGATTTTTCTTTTGAGTAGATATGAGAATCATCTCGGTAATATAAAAAAAAAAATATTTTGTATTGAATTATACTTCTCCACCCTAATCACGTGTCATTTGACGTTTTATACTCCCTCCGTCCACAAACTAATGTCCTATTTTCTTATTTAGAACGTTCAACAACTATTGTCCTATTTTTTTTTTTAAACACAAATTTTACATTTTTACGCTTCATTCATTTATTACTTTTAATTTCTATCGTACAATTAAAGAAAAATTTGTTAATTCATAACAAAAAGGCAATCACCTATAAAACCGTGAAAATATACTTTAGTATTAATAAATAATACTACCTCCGTCTACTTTGAAAGTTTAAATTTGTTTACTTTGTATGTTGATTTTTTAATATTAATTATTAATAAAGTATAAATTATGTGATGTGATGAGGAAGAAAAAAATATATATTTTTCGAGTGGTGTGATAAGATAAAATATAGTTAATTATTTCATATTCAGATAACATTGTTAGATATATGATATAGATCAAAATAAAAATATTATAAAATATGTGAAATAAAGAGAATATTTGATTTAATAGTTTGTCAAAAAATTTATTTATTTATTTATTTATTTGATGACGTGGAAACCCACAGCCGCTACCCGAAAGTGCGCACTGGATAAACCCTTGGCCGAATCAATACCCTGCAAACTAAGCCCGACAGATAAGTCACACTAGAAAAATTTATATCTTTTTGAAAAAATATGAAGTGTAAATAATAAAAAACTAAATAATAATAATAATAAAAATACACCCAATAGTCTCTCTCTATTGGACCCGTTAACAATCCGAGTCGAGCTAAGTTTTAAGTGTTCGTTAACGTTTGCGAACAAGGCTCGTATTCGTTCGTTAAACTTTCGAGCTTGTTCGTAGTGTTCGAGCTCGGCTCGTTAAGAGTTTTTGTTGTTTGAGCTCGTCTTCATGTTCGGCTCGTTTAGGCTCGATTAAGCTCGTTCGAGCTCGTTTATCTTATTTTTTTTAAATTTATATATAAATTATAAAAAAAAATTAAAATTATTTTATTTATATATTTTAAATTAATATTTTATTTATTTATAAATTATAATTTTATATGTATATATAATATTTATAATAAATATATTATTTAAACAAATGTTCGCAAACGTTCGCGAACAAAGCTCAGACTCGTTCGTTAACTAAACGAGCCTATTTATGTTGTTCGACTCGACTCGGCTCGTTAACGTTCGCAAACAAACTTTAATCGAGCCGAGTTCACAAACGGCTCGGTTCGTTTAACAGCTCTACTATATATATATCCGTGTATATAATTGTTGACTAGTTAGAAGCAATCAGAAACTTCACCCTAAAATTTCAATTGTGTTGCAGAGATGTTATCATCCCAAATTATGTGCCCCCCAGGCAATTTCATATTTATTTTTACTGTTCCATCAAATTTTATTTTATATATCTATTGATTTATTTTTCTAAAATTATCACATATATATATATATATAGATATACTATTATAAATAATCCCATATATATATATAATACATATATATTGGTGGTCTCAGGGAAGGTTGCATGGCCGGAGCTGGTGGGATTGAACGGCGAGAAGGCGGCCGATATAATTGAGAAGGAAAACCTTAATGTCAAGGCCGAGGTCGTGGAGGTAGGCACTTCCGTAATTTTAAACTACGATTGCGCCCGTGTTTGGGTTTGGATCGACCCCAACGCTAGGAACGTTGTTCTTCCGCCCACCATCGGTTAACTGATCCATAGGATCCTTAATTCTCATAAAATCATATTTTTCGCTGCCCACGATGCTCACATTAGATATACATACAAATAATGTATGTATGTGTTTTGGGATGGCGAGGCTCGGTTTTTCTAGAGTTAGGATCCTAAGGTCGTATCCCTTTTATTACCTAATGTTGTTACGTCTTTTTATAATAAAACTCATTTCTTTTCATATATTTTGATGCTATTTTTATACAAATATAATTATTTTTTTATTAAAAATTTTAAAAAATCAAATAAAAGGCAATGGTTATGGTATTAAATTTTAAAATTTAATACTATTCTGAATTTTATATCATAAATTATGAGAACACACACCAATATTACTGCAGATATCGTTAATATTAATATAATATAAAATATAACATAAAAACAAAAAGCACAATACATATATCTATAGAATATTAAATATATTTATACGGAGCACAATATGTACTTCATAGAGCACCAGACATACTAAAATATAGATTTTTTTACAAAATTAACCATTTTAAGTATCAATAACTGCATCGGCTCTTTATTACCTGCGACCATAATTACGATGAATATTGAAATTTAACACCAATATAATTAATAAGTAATCAAAAATAAGTTTAAATAATTTTAAATTTTAAAATTTAAAATATAATTAAAGTTATTATTATTATTATTATTATTATTTTTAAAAAAAGTAACATAAAATGTGATAGCAACGAAATGATATGGAGATATTAAATACACTCTAAATGGGCTTATTATTTGTAAAAGTAGGCCCAATTTATCGGCTTAATATTATTTTATTTATTTATTTATTTTAAACATATAGAATAAAAAAAAAAATCCAATTGCCCTAGAAATTGAAGTTCATGAATTAGGGGGAAAGGCGACCCAAAGATCAAGAGCAAAACTACACGTAAATTGCCTTGTTGATCCGAAATTTGCCGAATTTTGGCCATGAGAGGCGCCGATTTGGAGCCTTCAACGAGCAGAAAGCGCCGACGAGATGAGGAATCGGAGCCAGAATCAGAGAACAATGCCGACGACTCTCGCTCTGTCCCCCTAGGTAAGAAATTGTTGAACTCATTCCTCGATTAATTTTGTTGCTTTCGTTCCAATTTCTTAATTTTTTATGCGAATTGTGGGAGTGTAGAGGATAATCTAACGTTCAGCGACACTCTGATGGCTATCCGAATGATGCGCGCCCAATTTCCTCACATTGAAAAGGTAGGTTTTAATTCGTCTTTGAGTTTTGTTTTTTTTTACTAAAATGCGAATTCTGTCTCACATTTGTTGTATTGAAATTATGCAATTAGGGTTTAGTGGATTGATTTTACTTATTCTGATGTTATGTTACGAAAGTAGGTTTATTAAGGACAATGTTATGTTGAAATGAAGTCATGTAGTTTGAAGTGTTGTATTCGTTCATTGGTTTTGCAAATTTCTACAAAGAATAGAATTTCTAACAATGTTGCATCATGTATATAAGTTTCATGCTTCAAGTTCTATACATATTTTCAGGTCTCAGTTCAGCCATTTGTTCTACAATCTCAGTTGTACAGCAGCATAAAGGATAGGACACAAGTGGATCGGGAATTAGAGGTAAGGAGATTTTACACGAGGCATAAAGTTCGTAAAAAAGTTTATATCTTAGTCGTAGTTTACACAAATGATCCACCACTGATTTGTGATGGCTACAATTACCATTATGTATACATCTTCTTTGGACATTAGCTAAGTTGGAGACATCTCAGTATGTTATTGTTCATATCGATTGGTATTTATGGTATTTTTTTCTTCCTTATCTTAGTCTTTACGAAGGGACAGAGTATTGCGGATATTTAAGTTAAATACTGGTCAGAACGATCATGGGATAATGATGCTCGATGATTACATTAATCAGGTTGGTTTTCTTGCTTGTAAGTATTGATTTGGATGATGCTGTATTAGATTTTGACTATTATTTCGTTCATTTGATTAACCTTCCAAATAATTGTGTTTTCTTCACAATTGGTTCTTAAGGTGCCGAAAATTTCTGTGCTTGCCCCTTTAATTACATGTAAAATTTCGAATCGTCAATGAACAATGCGTCGAATTGACTGTGGATTGATATTTTATTTGTAGAAACTATCGGGGATACATAGTAATTATTGAAAAGTTTTCAGATTGACCGTGAAATTTCATAATGTGTTGAATTGATTGTTGATTAATATTTTCTCAGTAGAAAACTATTGGTGACACATAGTATTTGTCGAAAAAATTTCAGATTGACCGTGAAATTTCATAATGTGTCGAATTGATTGTTGATTAATATTTTCTCTGTAGAAAACTATTGGTGACACATAGTGTTTGTCGAAAAAATTTCAGATTGACCGTGAAATTTCATAATGTGTCGAATTGATTGTTGATTAATATTTTCTCTGTAGAAACTATTGGTGACACATAGTATTTGTCGAAAATTTTCAGATTGACCGTGCCGTGAAAAGAATGGAACAAAAGAAGGAAACTGATCTCCGTGTTTTCGAGTGGTTCAAGACTCATGTCATACAATCCAAACTCGATGTCAGCATTAGTCACCAAGAACTCGTCGGTACACTATCTCCAATTTACGTCACATTTTGTCTGAGTGTTTTGATAACCCATTGCCCGTTTTATTTTGCAAACACGTCAATACTAAAAATGTGCGCAAATATATATCCACACAGTGTGCGCTCCTTTCGACTGGAGGAAAGGTGAAAGAAGAACACATGACACAGTTAATTAATGCCGGTCTTCTTGTGAGGATTCTAATTATTTTTGTTTCTGATTTCTCGACCGGATTTGTTCGCTCCCTTTATGACATGTTCTGATTTTGTTCTAGACTCGGCAACTCATCGATCCAAACATGTATTGGTTTTCGATCCCGAATGTTGGTTCTGTTCTCAAAGGTCTCTCACAGGTAAGTGAAACAGGCATGTCGATCATGGGTTTATATATATATATGTATATGTATATGTAGGTGTCGATTCTACTGCGCCATCGGTTTTGGTTTGAATTTTTATTACAGGGGAGGAAGGAGGTTATGTCGTTGCTGGGACGTCGGAAATACAAGGAGATGATGGTGGCAGAGTTGGAGAAGAAGCGTCTGCGGCTCTCGCCGCTCGACGTCAGGTTTCATCTCCGGGATCTGATCGGCTCCGGCCACCTGAAAACCGTTCAGGGGCCAACTGGTATGATTGTGCGGATTACAAAGGATTAAGATATATATATATATATATTATCCACACACACGCATTTGACGGGAATTTCCGGCGATCACAAGCACACATGCACCTACTAGGATTAATATTTTAAGTATGCATGAAGATGGCTGGTAGCATATATGTATATGTATATATATATATATATATTAACTTTGAATATTAATTATTATATCGAAACGTAGTCCAAATCAAGTGAAAATGACAAAAATATTTTTATTATTGTTTTATAATACTAATATAATTATATTTGTACAAAAAATTATACAAATATAAATATATTTTTAACGTGACGTAAAAGGTAAATGTAATCTTTAGAGGTGAACAAATAGAGTATAATTTTACATTAACATAATATAAATACAGGGCATGGATCAACTATTGATGTTAATCCGTTTATGCTGATTTGACCGGATCAATATATACTTTAATCAACATATATTTATATATATCTTAACATATATATTTGTAATATAATATATGTTGATTATGTGTATGATATATGCTGGATAATAGATGCTATTATTGATTTCAATACAAAAGTGGTGGTTCTGATTTAACACAAATCATGACTTCAAATAGCAGATGCTATATAGAATAAAAGCATGTATTATATTTATAATATATATATATATATATATATTTTTGGAATTTTAATCGGTATTTTTTTTTTGAACTCTACAACAATATGTCATGTGTTTTTTTATGTTTGTATTGTATTTGTATTATATTAATATAAATGATGTATTTTTTAGATTTTTTATTGGTGCTTTTTAAATTTTTTTATTGACATAACATATTTATACATGCATATCTGTGTACGGACAAAGAAATACCCGTGTGAGTTTCCAAAGGGGTTTTTACTTTGGCATGTGAAGTTAATCAAACGAAGTTGTAGTGCTCAAATGATATTTTTGAAGTTTTCGCACTATTTATTTATTTAATTTACATAAAATATACTTTTTTATAAAATATAATATAAAATATTGATTTTTTATTATTTAAAATTTTTTCAGAATTCTAAAACTTGTAAATTCTTTTTTTTTTTAAATTCTTTTGTCTACATGAAGTCATTAATTTGTAAATGGGCCAACAAGTAGTCGAAACGTGGACGTCTGGACGACGTCGTTTAATGATGGGCAGTCTTTTCTTGCGTTCGATTCTCAACTCGTGTTTTTACTGACACGTGGAGCTAACTGATTGGTTGGGACTTTTTGGGACCCATGATTATAAATTATTATCTTAATTAACTGTATTTCTGTCCAAATTTTTTTTTTTTTTCTAATTTGTGATTTCTTATTATCTGTATATTCTTTTGATCTATCATTAATTTATCAACTTTTTTTTTTAATATTAGTATTTACTATTTATATTATATTATATTAAAAATTAATAATTTTAAATTTTATATTCTCAAACCCTAAAGGACATACACTATTTTTTGTGTACATCACATATGTTTACTGGCTTTTATGTATATATACACATTAATTTATAAAACATTTTAAATAAAAACATGTCAAATGTAACAAGAAATAGACAAGAAAATTATAAGTACTATAGAATTGAAAAATTCGTGTTAAAAATCTAATGAATAATGATATCTAAAAATTACTACTATCTTATACTACTTTCGTCCTACTCTAAAGGTCTCATTTTACTTTTTACGTATTTAATATTTGAATATTAGTTATTATATCAAAACATAGTATAAATTAAGAAAAAATATAAAAATATTTTTATTAGTGTTTTATAATACTAATAGAATGACATTTGTACAAAAAATTATATAAATATAAATATATTTTTAATATTAAGTACAATAACGCAAAAGGTAAATGAGACTCTTGGAAGCATAACGAGGAAGTATATAGTATTTCTTCAATTTAAGTTCACAATATATATGTAACAAAGATATCCATTGTATTGAAGAATATTTTAATTATAATACTTCATCCGTCTCATAATTAGATATCCATTTGTTTTTTTCAAGTAGTTTTAGAAATATTAGTATTATATTGGGATATAGTATGAATAAAATAGAAATGACTAGAATAACCTTATTAGTATGTGTGATATAAAAGTAATAACATTTGTGTAATATATTGTAAGTTGTAAGGGTATTTGTAATGTTAGGTAGATAGTATAATTACTAAAAAATGAAATTGATATTTTGTTATGGGACGGACTAAAATGGAAAAATGGATACTTTGTTATGGGACGGAGGAAGTAGCATATTACACTCTTGTTTATTCACAAGTATACATATTTCTATTTTGAATTGTCCGATTACAAAATAATTATTTTTTTAATAACTATGGATCATATTTTTTTTTTATAAATACTTTTATTTTACGAATAAATTATTTTTATACTATGTTTAACTATTCACTTTAATTAAAATATTAGTATTATTTTTTAAATTTTGAACCAAAAATAAATGTATACTTTTAAAATGGACAGAGGGAGTACAATGTATACTAATTCATGTACGGAAGATGTAATTATTATATATTATTATAATAATTAAAATTTTAATTTTTAAATACGGTCCGTTAACAAAAAAATAATTTGTTTACTTTGTGTTGATAATGTAAAAAATAATAATTTATGTTCAGTTATTAATTTTTTGTAAATAAATAAAATATATTATATACTATGTTAATATATATACTATATTCTTTTTAACATTAATATATACGAAGAATCGTTTTATTTAAAAATAATAGTCACTATACTCAATAATAACATAATGTTCATTTATATTTGTAGAGTGTGATCTGATACTATTTAAAAATGATTTGAGGTGTATTCGATTTGTATTATATATTTAAATATTAATTGATTTTCAAAAGAAAAAATATAATATATTTTTATAAAAAAATATTTTTCTCATTCGCTTCTAAGGGTCACATTTACTTTTTGCGTTATTGTACTTAACATTAAAAATATTCTTATATTCGTATAATTTTTTTTATATATATAAATCTCCTTCTATTAGTATTATAAGACACTAATGACAATATTTTTGTAATTTTTTTAATTTGTACTACGTTTTGATATAATAATTAAGATTAAAAAATCGACACTAAAAAAATAAATGAGACCCTTATAATCGAACGAATGTAGTATAACAGAATTTCATAATAAAAAAGTTGGAACATTATAAAAAGAATATAGGCTTATCATTATTATTATTAGGAAAAAAATCAATTTTGGTCCCAATATAGCTAGTTAATCAACTTTGGTTCAAATATAAAAAACTCATCAATTTTGGTTCCAATATAACCAAAATTTATCGATATTGGTCTCAATATAAAAAAAATTCATCAATTTTAGTCCCAATATAAACAATTTCAATCAATTTTGGTCTCATTATAAACAATTTTTATTAATTTTGATCACATCGTTAAAAAACTAACGGAAATTGCTGACGTAGACATGACGGAGGTGACGTGGCAGTTGACCTGGAAAGTACACGACCATATACAATTATACACGGCCATGTTGTTACATGACCATGTATATTTCAGTGTATAATTATACATGACCGTGTTGTTACACGACCATGTACAATTATACACGGCCATATTGTTACATGGCCATGTATATTCCGTGTATAATTGTACATGGCCGTGTACTTTCCAGGTCAACTGCCACGTCACCTCCGTCATGTCCATGTCAGCAATTTCCGTTAGTTTTTTAACGGTTGGACTAAAATTGATAAAAATTGTTTATAATATGACCAAAATTGATTGAAATTGTTTATATTGTGACTAAAATTGATGAGTTTTTTACATTGGGACCAAAATTGATGAATTTTTTATATTGAGATCAAAATTGATTAATTTTGATTATATTGAGACCAAAATTGATTTTTTTTCCCTTATTATTATTATTATTATTATTATTATATTTTGAAAAAAAGAAAAGGAAAATGTGCAAATAGTCTGATGGAAGAATAATGGAATGAAATGGATTCCCAAAATCTATAATAAATTGACATATGGAATTAAATTATAGAAATTAACAAAAGAATTTGTGAAGTGATTGCACAACTAATTAACAATTAGCGATTCTTGTATTATTATTATTATTTTTAATAATGTGGGAACCGCAGTCGCTACCCGAAAGTGCGCACTGGGTAAACTCCGGTCGAATCAATACTCTGCAAACCAGGCCCGACGGAAAAGTCACACAAGACGAACCATATGAACCATGTGTGATCATAAGTCTAACTCCTACACTACCAGACCATCATTTACGGGACTTATTATTATTATTATTATTATTATTATTATTATATGTTGTTGTTAATAATGGCGAACATATATATATTGATATGATACATGGATTGGAATGTTTTGGTATAAATCATACGTGTACAAATGTATATATATATATATATAATTTTATTACTATATTGTTGTGACATTATAACAACATTTATTATTTAAATATTTTTACAAGTATTTGCATATAATTGGTATATATTTATTGTCTCTTTAGAACATTTCCAAACTTCACACACACGCCCGCAGACAAACATATTTATATATATATATATTTAGGATATATTTCTTTTGCCCAAAATTCCAGGTTTTTATTATTTGGATTTTACGTTTTTTTTAAAAAATATATTTTTTAATTATAAAATATTTCATCATATATTATTTTAATACCAAACTCAAACCAAATTTTTTTCAAACCCATCTAAAAAAATATACCCTAGTTTTTACATTATTTGAAAAAATAGGATTTTTTTTTACAAAATATAATATAAATAAAAAATTCAAACTTCTAAATTCAATCCAAATTAAAAAGAAATTGGGTGTTTCTTTGAGTTTGGTTTAAAAATAATTAATTTAGGTTTTATATTTAAAAAATGTTTGATGAAAGTATTTTGTGAGAAGAAAATATAATATATATTTAAAAAAATATATAAATTCAAAATAGTAATTTTTTTTTTTATAAAATAAAAAGATTAATGAAATGCCATGGATGTTTAATGGCCGAGTGCATGTAGTACCGACATATGCAAATTTTATTTTTTTGATAACCCTCAGTCCTAGTTAAAATGTCAATGTTAGTGTAGACAAAGAGATTTATATAAGTATAAATAGTAAATAATTAAAAAAAAATATTAGTAAAAATAATTATAAATTAAAATTAAGATAACTAAATAATTTAATTAAAATTATAAAATTTAAAATGTGATTAAAATGTATAATCATATTTCTAAAAAAAAATGACAAATTATGTGGAATCAAACTAAAATAGAAAAAATAGATATTTTATGTAGGATGGAGACAGTATTATCTTGATTTAAGCTAAAGTAGTCTTGTTTTTTTTTTTTTTTTTTTTTTTTTGAGTTGTCCCATATAAATATTTTATTTTTATTTATAGTCCATATAAATTTCACTTAATTATCAATTTACTTACTTTTTATTTTTTAGTTGTCAATTTTTTTAATTTAAATCAATTGTATATTTTATTATATGAAGTATGAATTGTTTGTTTGGTTGGATTCAATCCATCTATATTAAGTCAATATTTTCATATTAAT